CAATCCCGTATTTCTGTAGCAAGTGAGTGTTTTCCTTAGCCTGCACTCCACTAAAAGCCCATAAAATCCATCTGGACTCCTGGTAGGGACCTGTTTCTCCTTCTCTTCAGCCCATTCTCCATATGGGATGTATACGAAGTGTACCTTCCCAGACGGTGTGCCCGCTCCCGGCCCGCGGTAACGGCCGAGCTGCAGCGTCGCTGCCCTGCGCCCGCGTGTCCTGGCGCGTGTGCGTTTGTGACCGAGCCTGGGAAACGAGTGGCTGCATGCCTGGTCTGGGCACTACGGTGCAAAGCAATTCTGCACAGGGATGTATTTGCTGTTGTTAACAGTTTTATCACTTTATGGCATTTACTCAGTGGTTTCCTTTAACAGAGTGCTGTGCCTTCCTTTTAGCACAAGAGGTCTGTACTCAATATTTTTAGATGGTTCTTTAACTATTAATTTCGATATCTTTACTGTATGTATTTTTTCTATTTTGACTACATTTTCTTTAAAATCTAGAAAAAAAATGCTTCAAAATACTTTTCCATGCCTTCTATCAATTCCATTTAGTTTTTTTCAGTGGTCAATAAAATTTAACATAGGGAAGCAATACCCCAATTTACTGCAAATGCCTTCCTAAAGCTTTTGAATAGGGTTTGTTTTAAGCTGAAGGGAAACAAGCCCTTGCCTGTGGCCTGAAACAAAGCACAGAGCGCTTCAAACCCAAAGTAAATAATTTCATCAAGTTATGAGTGATTAAAAATGGATGTCTGAAATTCTTCTGTAGTGCCACAGTGAGTGACGCTCACAATAGCAGTATTTTTTAATACCATTTTTGGTTGAGTGTTTTGGCTGAGAGAAAACTGAGCACATGATATCTGCCATGAAGGCCATATTGACAGTGGGATAACAGCAGTGGATGCTCTTGGTGGTTGGTGTACGAGGCTTTGGTTTGATTCTTGTCCAGTGTACACACTGGAGTCCAGGCTTGCATCCCTTACACCAGGTTTGCAGACACTTTAATATGGTAGGATGACAGCTGCATGTTTGGTGGCATATTGGTGGTTAGAGTGGTTGAAAAAGAAACCAGAAGAAATACGGCCAACAAAAACTTTAACTGCAAAGTAAGAAGCCAACAGTGTAGAATGAGAATGAGGCAGATTTTGAGAAGAAAGGGGTATCTAATTGAAATCTGTGGTTGTTTTGTGTCAAAGTTAAAATATGAACATTCCTCTCCCAAAGAGCATCACTCTCTTACCAAAGTGGGACCCCAGGAAAATATGCTTGCATAATACACATTATAAATCACCTGTGTACATCTACCCAGCATCCTTGGATGCACAGCAGACCCTCAGGCCTGTGATGGAGCTGATGGTTATCAGCAGCACATTGCCCTTAACACACAAGAACTGCTGCACGGTTGTATGGCTGGGCACTGCCAGACCTTTGCAGGGTGACTACGAGGATCCCCTGGGGGACTTGGGACTGAGTTAGCATCCAGGCCAGCCCAGTCAGTTGACTACAGGGATCTGTAAATTTAAATGAACTCATTCCCAGCTCTTTTGTTTTATAGATGCTACTTATCGACAAATCTGCTCTCTTGCTGTGTTTTGCAAACGCTGAAAATCCCCTTTGAAGACTTCTTGTCTGTTTGTTTGAATTATTTAGTCTCCCTCCTTCACTGAATAGTGAAGCATTTTTCCTGATTTCTTCTACTGTGCCTTAATTATTCATATATTGAATCTGAGGTGCTCTGTTTGAACAGACAGACTGGAGGCATGCAATTTTCTAGTGCAGGAGAGTATCTCTCTCCTTGCTCTCCACATCTTATCAGCTACACTTGTGGCAGAAGGTTGTTCATGTGGCAGACCAAACACCTCTCTTAAGAAACACGGACAGAAGGCAGTAAGTAGCTTTTCCTCCAGATCAATCCCATACCTATTGGCAGAAGTCAGATTTCTGTCAGGATAGTTACATTTTCTTGAGTGTTTTTTGCCAGTTCTCTTGAAAACGGGCTGAAGATTGCTCAAAGAATTAAAATCTTCCATCTGCTGCCATACTTATTCACTATCAGTCTTTCCTATAGCCAGTGAGTGGGAAAGTGAGTCACTACATCTGGCCAGATGCAATCCTCTGCTATGAAACACATAACTACACCAACTATAACTATGAAACACATGCAAATTCTGTTTTTTATTCTTTATACGTCACTTGCTGTTTGCGCTTAGCTCTGTTATGTCCTGTGTCATCTGTCTTCATCCTTCTTCCATCTGACTCCTTGCCGACTGTCTTTCCTTCTGCTGTGTACATGTTCAGTTGTGTTCCCACCTCTTCATCTAAGCCTTCCTGCTTCTCCCAATCTCATAGATTCCTCGCTTGAACCATAGCCATCCATTCTTTCACCCTTTTCATTTTCATCGTATGTTGGCTTTCTTAAATATCTTCTCCTCACTTTCTGCTATTCTTTTCTTTATCATCATCTCATTTCTTGTTGTCTTTGTGCAACTTTTAAAAAATACATGAAGAGCCATAAGTTGTGTGGGCTTTTCTTTTTTTATTCTCTTGTTTTTATAAAGAGGAAAACCTTTACTTTATCATTATGAAGGCAGAATTTAAGAAAAAAAGAAAAAGAAAAGAAACCACACCACAAAATAAAATCTTTGAGAGCAGAAAGCAAAAGTCCTGAATAAAATTGTATAAAAATGATCTCTGCCAAGAAAGACAAAGAAAACAAGACAAAAAAAAAAACTTCTAACTTTGTGGCATGTTATGCAGGTCAGAATCTAGGCTTGGCAAGGGTGTTTCTAGTTCTTGGTCTTCATCATTACTGCCTCTTTCATGATTTAAATGTTGTGAAATATAGAGATCCAAGACCAAAAAAATAGTTAGATGCTGTATTGGGAGACATTCTCCCAACCCAGAAACCAGCTCTTACTATTTTATTGCAACTGCCTGTAAGGTCCTTTTGTGCCTTCATCTGAAAGAATGCAGAAATGTTCCAAAAGTACCTTATAAATATGAAAAATGGACCAAGTGACAACTTCACAGCCACTCTGTTATGGAAAGTGTTGTCTTCTTTGCACATGTGGTGTATGCACCTGAAATAGAGCTACAAAGATGATCAGGGCACTGGAGCATATGTCCTGTGAGGAGAGAAGAGAAGGCAAAGAGGTAATCCCATCAATGTGTATAAATACCTTAAGGGAGGGTGGCAAGAGGGTGAGGCCAGACTATTTTCAGTGGTGGCCAGCAACAGGACAGGAGGAAATGGCCACAAACTGACGCAGAAGAAGTTTCGACTGAACGTGAGAAAAAACTTCTTTACTGTGAGGGTAACCAGAACACTGGAACAGGCTGCCCAGAAAGGTTTGGAGTCTCCTTCTCTGGAGATCTCCAAAACCTGCCTGTGCCACGTGCTCTAGGTGACCCTGCTTGAGCGGGGCGGGGTTGGACTAGGTATCTCCAAAGGGCCCTCCCAAGCTCAACCGTTCTTTGATTCTGTGAAATAAGCTTCCTGGCTTCCCTTCTGTGAGTTTTGTTCCGGCAAAGACTCTTTGTTCAGAGGTAAAGAACGGTCTGTACTGCAGCATTTATCTACCTCGATCTTCATAAACTACAAGTTACAGCCCAATTGCTTGTCCTCTTCTGAACTGTAGACTTGGTGAGGCATAATATGGGGACTAACACACTTGATTTTATAAGAATTTGTGGAAAAACTCAGAAAGACTACTGTTTAACTATCCACCAAAATTAAGATGGTGGTATACTTCAAGCCGCATACTGAAATCCACACTGCCTCTGTGGTTACTTTAATGGAGAGCAATCAGTAAACAGCTGAACATATTTTCCCCAAATCATATAAGCCTTACTGTTACTGTAATCCCTGCATAAATTGAGTAAAAAGTTAAGTGTTCCTTTGGAAAGGAGGATGATTTCCCTATATGTACACTCACACATGCAGTGGGCTGGCACTTAATCCATATCTAGTGTCAAGTTTCTTTTTTACTTTTAAGTATATAAATACTACTTAAATTTTTTTCATTGGTCTCAATTGTATTCACTGGTTTCCAAACTCCACGTCTTTTTTTCTTTCTTTTTTTTCTTTTTTTTTTTTTGCATTCTCATTCATCTAATTTAATATTTCAAGATATTTTGGCTAATACAGAGTATTCAGTCCCTGAGGAATCGCGAGTGAGTCATACATCCTACTCAGCGTAAGGGTTTCCAGAGTGTCTCTGGAAGGCTCCCAGCTGAACTGCAAGGGCTGGCTCAAGGCTGATAAAGCTGGGGGTCAGGTT